TGTTTATTTTCCTCGCATAATTTCTAACCCTTTCGTCAGAAGAACGCAGAAGGCACGATGGCATTTCAAATATGCACGCACACGAAAAATTTTTTCGTCGTAAGTTCATTTGCGTTTCTCTATTTGTAAAAATTGATCCAGCAGGCTAATTAAGGTGAGTTATTAATGCTCTGCATTGAAATAAGCTTTGCTCATTGAAGTGATAGATATAATTTTTTTTTTCATCAATAAGATTGATAAGTGAAGTTACCAAACAAACAGAACGGACCATTATTATTCATTATAGATGAAATTTAAACTTCATTCACTATTAACTTAACTATTCAATAACATTTTTGCAGTCAATCTTTAATATTTTTCGGTTGACACCAGAAGAATGGTGATAAAAATTCCAGATTTACACATTATGATGAATTTTTAATAATGTCGCTTGTCTAATATTTCTTATTGTTTTCTCCAATAATATATAATTTTTAAATTTTGTAACTTTTATCAGGAACCAGAATCTTTTTGGAGCAAACTTGAACACCTATAATGCAACATTTCTTAAATAATTAATAAAACGTGTTATGTTATCAAAATTTATAAAATTTTACTAACACTTTCTACAATTTGTAATATAAATTGCCGAGCAAGGAAACTTTTTCTCGTGATTTTATTTTGTTTAAATTTTACTGTTTTATAAAAATTAATATATTTTAAATTAATTTAAATAATCAACATTAACTAAAATTTAAATAAATGCTAAAATTTTATTTATTTATTATGTGTATTTATAATTAAAAACTAAAAACATGTAATATTATTCAACAAGTCTGCCTTTTTCATAATATTATAAGATCAAAGATTTATGAATTGTTTCTATACCAGCGAGTTATCTATCTGCACATTAACATATTATGTGGAGCTAAATTCAACTCAGGATATCAATAATGAAAAGACAATTTAAGTTTTAGTAATAAAGCTCAATTTAACCAATTTAAATACAAAATTATTTATGCTCCATGGATAATTATTAAATTGCTAATTTCTTATATAACTCGCAAAAAAATAATTTTTATCATTTTATATTCCTCTTTTTAATTTTGTCTTTGGTTTCCCGTCACTTCTGTGTATATACTAATACCTTCCACGAAAATTGCACTTTATTGTTTTTCTGTTCCGTGCTGGCTCTTCTCTCTCTTGGTCACAGACAATGGCTTTTTCGGAATCGCGTCGGCTCCGGTCACACCAGCGTGGCTGCCCTTTTATTAAACAATTAGACCGGTCGTTGGCGGCGAACGCCGTTGCCACTTGTTCGTAAAATATACATATAAAATTATAATATAATGCATAGGAGAGTCGTGTCATTTGCGCGCGGCGCATTAAAATTCAGAGCGTCATTAGCGTGCGTACATAATTATTCACGCGCGCATCACGAAAACAAGCGCGGCGGCTCCTCATTATGCTGATGACGATAATGTTGTGAGCGCATTTACAAGCTTCCTTCGTCCTCCTTTGCCTGGGAGTTTGAAATTTTCGTGGAGAATGGAGATGAAAATTACATGCAAATGCGAAAGAGAGAGAGAGAGAGAGAGAGAGAGAGAGAGAGAGAGAGAGAGAGAGAGAGAGAGAGAGAGAGAGAGAGAGAGAGAGAGAGAGAGAGAGAGAGAGAGAGAGAGAGAGAGAGAGAGAGAGAGAGAGAGAGAGAGAGAGAGAGAGAGACGAGCCGCAGAGGATCCCGCGGCGGTGGTCGGAGGAATGTCACCGGCCAGTAATTGCTCGCGGGCGCCCAGCTGCGAATTTAATCGGCGGCCCCTGTGGCCAATTAGCTGCGAGTGTCACCTGCCGTCCCAACTCTAGGGACACAAGTTTCGGGGCCTCAGCGGCGGCCGTGATTTCCTACCGACCATAAATATGCATATTGCGTGCACATCGCGCGGATTAACGAGCGTGAAAAATATTCTGCCTCTCTCTGATAAAATTACGTGTGCGTTTAATTCGGGTGTCCACCGCGCCGGACGAGCAGCATCACCAAGGTCGACGACTCTATAGCTCTTCTCTCTCTCCAAAGCTACATCGCTGCACACACACGTACGTTTGAAATGCATTATTCAAATGGATGGTCCCTCCTGCAAAGTAATCGCAGCACAGCAGATCAAAAGCGCTGATATATAAAAGCGACCGCCAATTCCAAATATTGCTTTTTAATAACGCTGATGCGAGCCCGTGCGGGGGAATCTGACGCGCACCCTTTGATGTTGCATGGCCATGCACGCGAGAGACCGGCCACCGATGACACAAAATGCAAAATGAGTTATTGAAATGGTTCTAAACAAACACACAATTCTGCAATTATATTTAAAGCTTAAAAAAATTAGTCATAACAATAATAAAGACTTATATTAAAAAGTATTTAAATTTCAACTTTTCAGGCTGATTTGGAATTTATAAACATTAATATTTATTTAAATATATAATTTAATATTTCCAACGTATGAGTTAAGATAATAATGTGTACTGAGTGAATAGATGTATGGATTTTTTCTTTTTAAGTGTAAATATTATAATTATATATTTTTTCAGTATGACAATTGATACAATTTAAAATTAGTGGAAAAATCAAAATTTTTTACCTCTGACCACGTTAGTAAAATATTAAATATAAATAAAGTGGAATCAAAACTTCATCAATGACGTCGTTCGTATGTTAATTGATCATGAAACATATTGCAAAAAAAAAAATAATAGTCAAAACCTTTGTTTTAATATAATCGCTATCAAAATAACAATCTAAAACTGGAAAATTGCATTAAATGTACAAGCAAATCTAGATTCAGGCAGATTAATACAGAAATTGATATCTTTGTTTTTTTGACAAATAAATTTCCTCAATCAGTTATTGGAAAATTTTTGAGGGCAGATTTTTTTATTTTAAAATTGTTGCATCGAATTAACTTAGAATTTTACAAAATGCAAGTGGTGCAAACTGCAAACCAAAATATGATTTATTCTGCAGGATCTCAGCATAAAAGCTGGCTTGTGTTTTGGAACTCGCCGGCGCGTTTTTGCTCTCTGCTCCCTTTTCGGTTAATTTTTGTGCTCGGCGGCGCGGCGACGAGCGCGGTCAAGCATCAGTCGCGCGAGAGCATTTTTAATGCTAATTAAAATGCTGCAGGAAATTATTAGCCGCGGCGACTGTTTTTAATTAAAGTGTCGCGGTCTCTTTCCTTGATTAAAAATCTGAATTGGGAATGACAAGAACGGTGCATTGTACGTGAATTTCGTATGTATCTTCGCGGCGAAATCTCTCTCGGAAGAAACGAAATTAATTGCACACACGCCGCTGGACAGGAACCTTCGACATAATCGCTTTTTACGCCGCTCTTTCTTAAGTGTGTGTTTTTTTATATTTTTTTAATCAAATCGTCGACCTCTTGCACGATTCTTTCTTTCTGCCAAAAACACGCGATTTTTACCGCGATTTCACCCGTCGGCGCCCAGTGCGAGATGAAGAAATTTGCATGCAAATTAATCGGCTTAATTGGGAGTTAACTTGTAGTGAATAAGCAGGACAGGTGGTTTTCCACGCGTGATTCAAAGCGTGATTTGCGCGCCTACCTACTTAACTTGTGAAAAATAGTCAAGAGGGGAAAAACTAGGTGGGTTGGCAACCCACGGGGCATGCCTGTTGTGGGGTTGCATATCGCACGCACCCCTAGCTGTGATCGACCGAATAACCGAGTGATCTACTGACTAAAGAGAGCACCCCTGCAGGCATTATTAGCAAGAAAATAAAATAACAAATGACTCTGTTGTAATAAAAAAAAATCATTAAAATGGAGATTAAATTTGTAGGAATGAAGATGCGATTTTCATTGTTTGACTTTTGTAAAATTTTCATTGTTCAAATTTCATGTCTTATGTACTTATGTATAATTGATTGTTTGAAGGTCCATAGGATCTGCATAGGATTATGAATAAATAGATTTAATTCTTGCTTAAATTAAAGCTAGGCTTGGGAAAATAGAAAATTTTTAAAGGCAAAATATAAAGGAGCCTATTTACGTGCTGTTTTCAAAGGTGGCAACAATTGATGATTTTCGAAGAGAAAAAAAATTAAATAGGCGGAAAAAGGCTATTTTTTTCCATAACAAAACCTGTAGATGTTTGATTTATGGTGTTTTTTGGTGATTTTTTTTTTTTTTTTTTTTTTAAATCGGCGTTTACCAAAAAATTGGTGATTTTAGGAGCTTAAATCTTAAAAACAAAAATACACTGTAATTATTGATTGTGAGATGGCTCAGAGAGTTGCAAAAGGTCGAGCTAGAGGCTAATAATTTGACGAAAAAATAAATCATTTTTGCGTCTCTGCCCATTTGTGTCGTCATCTTGTCATCTGGAACCCTTACAAAGTGCCCTCAGTTAATGAAGTCACCGCCGCCAGCTGGATCTGAACCCGGATTCACTTGCAGATCACCAGATCAGTCAGAGCCTGTAACCACAAGACAATTAGCAATTGTCTAATCGGCCAAGATTATTTTCAACAAAAAAATAAATGTTTTCACTGCAACTCAATGGCGGTCAATCGTATTTTTTTCGTCTCGTACCTCGTACATGAACAAAATTTTCCTCGTGCGGATGCCGAATATTTTACTACTGCGGTAATAGCACTAAAAATTTCTAGAAATTTAGCTAATATTTATTAAGTTTTGATTAAAAAATCAATATACTTTTGTAATCAAGCGTGCAAGTCATTTATTTGAATAAAACCCCACCACATAATGAATACAATCATAGCAAAATTATGTCAACTCTGTAAGCAGAGTGAAGTTGGCTCCATGGTCATTTTACACACATCTTTTGAGAATAAGAAATTAAAATCACACGACCACACTGCCACGTGTGGCCATTGCCTGAACTGCCAGTCACACGTTTTGTTATTCTTATGAGTGACCGAGCGGCCGGGCTGGAGCTCATGTTCATTGAAATTAAATTGTGAACAGTTGTGAAGTTCAATTCAAACTTTTGGCGTAATGAGTGAACATTCAGAACAGTGATTCATGGGTTCAAGAATCAAGACCATGGACTCAAAGTCCGAAATCGCGACGCCCGACCAAAGACCAAACCCTTCGGAGATCATGTGCCCGCGAGAATGTAAGTTTTTATTCAGCTTCTTTTTACTTAACGTCGTAAATTTCCTGAACGTGAATTAATTTTCAATCGGCGAAGAAATTTCCAAATTTTCCAGGTAGATTTTTTTTAATTGTTTATGCCTTTTGGGAAAGGCACCAGCGGTATAGCAGACAGACCTGCAAGGGCTGATAATTTGGTGATCTTGAGACCCACTGGGCCGGGGAGAGAGGAATTTTTGCCTAGAATGTCTGATTGGAATGGCAGAAAACACCAGACGCCAGACTGCATTGCCGAAATTGCAGATGAAATTGCATTGCCCGATTTTATAGAAATTTCCAGTCAAGTATTAAGAAATTATTATAAGAAATAAATTTTTAACAAAATAATAATTTTTCAGCCGCTTTTGTGCTTATGTAAAAATAAAGATCACTTATTTCATTAACAAAACATTTATCGCTTTTTCAATTGCACTTAATTAGTAAAAAAACTTACTTAATCTAACTTACTTATCTAACTAAAAATTGCTGAGCAAATAATCGTGCTCAACAACTCGGGCAAGTAATTCTTTGTTAATTTCAATTTCTTTGTAAATAAAAATAACACAACATTAACAGCCATCTAACGTACGAAAGTACGAGCTCCTGGAGTACGAGCTCCCGGAGTACAAACTTTTTTAAAAATTTAATAATTTATTATTATTTTGAAACGATTTTTCAATAAAAATTTAATTATAATTACTTTTAATAATAACAATAATAATAATATAATAAAATAATAATGTCTCCCAATATATTTTGTCTCTATTATCAATAAATTAAAGTTCATTTAAAAAAAAAATGAGGTGAAAAATTAGATATGCCTGTATTTTAATTTTTCCCATCGCTGATTAAGGCTTAAAAATATAAAGCAGCAAACTGCTTATTTTAAAACTTTTAAATGCAATAATTGCTGATTTTGTGTTTGTCCTCGCAGCATAATCCCGTTGTCGAATTCTCTCTTCTCCACCAATTGAACCTGCAAATTAAGCAAAGAGTTTAGTGCAGGTGGTGAACTTTAACGACGCTCATTAAAAGCAAGCAAGAGTGTCACTCAGCGGCGGTGGTTATACGACACGGAGCGGTTTGAATTCTTTCGTGATTTTAGCACCAACATAAATAAAAATCTTGAGCGCGCGCATTAAAAGTTTTAAGTTTGAGCAGTCGTGACCGGCACTGCGCGTCAAATAAAAACACCGAACGTGGCTGCTATATTTTCTCAAATTCTCGTCAAGAGACGAAGACGAGGTCTCTCTTTTGAAACTGACAAGAGACACACAGCTCGCGCAGAGACAAATGGTGTTGCTCGGACGATGATTTCTCATCTGCCGGTGTAAATTTTGACAATGCTCTTTCACGACGCGCGGCGGAAAACCCCGCTGCGTGAGATGCTGCGCGTCCGAATCGAAGCAACGCGAGCACCACGCAGAGAGCGGTTTTTTTGTCCCCGTCTCTCGTCGCGGAAGAAGGGTATTTTTATTTTGACAAAAAATGAAAGGTCGGGTTGATTGTTGTGCGCACCGCGGGAATGTCGCGCTGTCAAAATGCAATCAAAGGAGCTGCGGGGAGGTGGAATTTAATTATACGAAACGCCAGCCTTGCCTGACCGTCTCCGACTTCAATTAGCATTATACGAATCGCGCCCCCATATGAATTCTATATACACATTAATTTTCATACACCAGGCTCACTTGTGCGTCTCTGTTTATTTCCGCTCTTTCTCTCCGCCACCACAAGTGCATAATATCTTCATTCTTTTGAACATAAGGGACGCATTGACATACGTTATAATATCTTTTCCTTAATATATTCAAGCATATACGTTAGGGAACGTAAAATAAATTTATAATAACACACAGACACTCAAGGAGCGGCTGAAATTTCATTTGGTGCGATGAGTTGCGCTTTTTGGATCGATGGCGATTGCCCGCGATTTGGCCCCTGACGCCACCGCCGACACCAGATTGACTTTTGTGACGACGGACACGGATTTTATAATTTGCATCGCGACTTGGTCAGCCGATTTTTATGTGGGAAGACTTCGTGAACTCGTGCTTCAGCCCTCTGGAATCAAAAGATTTGCAGACTTGCAATGCATATGTGTAAATCACAAGAGTAGTTGCAGGTCTAATTATTGCCTAATTTTAACACCTGTGTATGGTATTTCCGATTCCCTTTTGCTCAGTTTGAATTAATAATCATTTTACATAATTTTATTAAGCGTCATTCCAGCAGAAATCCTATGATATGTATGTAACCTACAAATTAGAGTAAATAAGCTGTTAACAATTTTATGTTCATCGATTTTATGCAACTGTGATTTGTCGCGATATAGGAATAAAATTGGTTTTTTATTATTGCTGTAAATCCAGCAATAAAAAAACTTGATTGTAAAATGCAATTGGCATTATTTATTTTAATTTGACACACTCTTGGCAAGGGTCAACCAAATTGAATGAAATTTGGCCCATCATTTCGTTTCATGGTCCAGACAAACAGTTTAGAAGGATTTTGAAAAATTCTCAAAATTGCCTATTTTACAGGGGCTCAAAGTTGGCGATTTTGAAGAAAGGAGTTTTAAAAAATCGAAAATATCTCAGTTCCTGTTTGAGATAGCGCAAATGTTTCTATTATCAAACTTGTAGGAAATTAGACGTCCTACAACTCTGCCGTGGTAACCAAGGTCATAGGTCAAAGTTCAAGGTCACTTTTTCTGACCTCGGTTTTTAAGTCGATATCAAAGTACGACGGAAGTAAAATATTTTGATTTCAAAATAGCCAAAAGTTGCCTAATTAAGTTACCAACAACATATTAAAAAATGGCGGGACTTATTTTTTTCGTTTTCGAGATATTCAGGGTTAAAGGGTAAAAAACGTGGTTTTCCGAGCCTTTTTAATGCAAAAACAAATTTAAACGGCCATAACTTTTCTCCTGTTAGAGATAGGACAAAATGTGTAACGACAAAAATTGTTCCCCTTGACTTTTTCTTTCCGGTCATGTATCACACATAATGACCAGGTCACAAAAGTCATTGACCCCGGTGACATCTGACCTTTTTTGACCTGGTCATTATGTGTGATACATAATCGGAAAGAACAGGTCAAGAGGAACAATTTTTGACGTTACACATTTTGTCCTATCTCTAACAGGAGAAAAGTTATGGCCGTTTAAAGTTGTTTTCACATTAAAAAGGCTCGGAAAACCACGTTTTTTACCCTTTAACCCTAAATATCTCGAAAACGAAAAAAATAAGTCCCGCCATTTTTTAATATGTTGTTGGTAACTTAATTAGGCAACTTTTGGCTATTTTGAAATCAAAATATTTTACTTCCGTCGTACTTTGATATCGACTTAAAAACCGAGGTCAGAAAAAGTGACCTTGAACTTTGACCTATGACCTTGGTTACCACGGCAGAGTTGTAGGACGTCTAATTTCCTACAAGTTTGATAATAGAAACATTTGCGCTATCTCAAACAGGAACTGAGATATTTTCGATTTTTTAAAACTCCTTTCTTCAAAATCGCCAACTTTGAGCCCCTGTAAAATAGGCAATTTTGAGAATTTTTCAAAATCCTTCTAAACTGTTTGTCTGGACCATGAAACGAAATGATGGGCCAAATTTCATTCAATTTGGTTGACCCTTGCCAAGAGTGTGTCAAATTAAAATAAATAATGCCAATTAAACATTAATTTTTATTCGATTGTTATAAATAATATTTAAGTATTTAATTTGATTTGTTTTTTTAAACACACAAAATAAAACATTTATATTATATGATATTTAATGATTTATATTAATAAGATAGGTTTTTCTTTTATTTGTAAAGTATCTATAAAATATTTTGAAGTATATAAAAAGATTTATTATATAAAATTGTAAAACCCACAACATTCAATTTGGATATCAGTAGAAATAACACTACAGATTACATTGGCTTCAATAAAATTTTTAATTATGTTAATACAATTTTGAATATTTGTGAATTTCAAATAATATATGGACGAAAAGCATTAAAGCAAGCAAACAAAAAAAAAATCGGCTGAAAGAAGAAATAAGTTATAACCAAAATAAAATGATTCCACTTTTTTTTGTACAGTGTACTTTTTTTGCGTTGTATGTACCATGAATGGAGAATATAAATAAATAAATAAAATTCCAAAAATCTCTGGACAACACATACAAATCTTATTTATTGCCATTTGTAGAAAATTAATTTTCTGTGCACTTTCGTGACAGTACAAAAATGAATTGACTGCTGCACCACTTTTAATAATTAATGAACGATTCAAGGCACGAATTATTGGACATTTTTTATATTTTTATATTTATAATCTAATAACTTATAAATATTTTTATATAAATTGATTTCCTCTATAATAATTTTCAACTGAAAATTAACTTGTAAATGTGTTAGATTACGGCAGGTGACAAAAGGCTTTGGTAGGGAGGGCGGCTTCCTTTTCGAACTCCCCGGAGGATGACATTCACTTTTCCGAGCTGCTTTTTCGTTCGTTTAATAAGACAGGTATTCAGCACGCATTCATCTGCCCTCCGAAATGACGCGAGTATCATACACAAGCGCACATTACGTGTCCGCCTCACTCATGACACCCATAAAACGTTGATACTTTACTGCATCATTATTATTGATGGTCTTTCTCTTCTGTGTATAAACGCGTCTCTGCTTTAGCTCTCGGCTTGTATAAATATAAAAATAAAATAAAAAACATACATATTCGCGGCGTATCAGCAGAAGGAGTCCTTTGTTTGTTTAATTGGGCCGTTTTGCCAGTGGCGGGTCAGTGACATTCCTCTGCGCTGCTGGGAAATCTGCAGAATTTTGATGGCGGGGGTGACGTCACCCACGTCGATTGTCCGACGGACGAACGGTTCAGTGACACACACGTGGTCGAATTATGTAATGGCCGATTGTTTGTGATTCGTGAGGCCTCGAACTAAACAGCTTATCGCCGGGCGCATCTC